TGTGCAGTCAATTGTTGCTTTACTGATATACGAATTAACTGATTAACTAGTCGATCAATAATCAATGATGTCCTAGAACAAGGATAGCGCCAGGCGTAAAATTGGTTGTACACGCCGTTGCAGCCGTGGGAGTGGAGTGTATTTAAGAGCATAAATTGATGTTCTCTTAAGTGAGCAATTAATTGGTTAGTGAAAGGGGTTTGGAAGAAATTGGGTGTAAAGGTGACCTATTGGTAGCAGAGAAAATCTTTGTCCGCGTGAACTTCTCGCCATGTCACTCGAGTCACGATTACAGTGGCATGTTAATTGCCAATGTAGTAGAAGGAAAGAGAGTATAATTGAGTAGGATAGAGCAGACCACCATCATATATCACGCTTTCTGATGTTCCCCTCCTTATTATTCTGCTTGGAATGTTAACAGAAGCCAGGCCTATCCATTTACACTGTCGCAAAAACATAGCGTTATGTGAAAGTGTAGTTTGCTGCAACCGCGTGTCCCGAAGAAATTATGCCACTAGCACAGTCAGTTAGATAAAGGGAAAAAGGATGGAGATATTTACAGATCCCCATGTCCCTAAGCTGCGGCAGAAATCGTATTAACGTTCCACAAATGCTTCCAATCAGCCTTTGTTTAACAACAAGGGAATGCATCGTAATACCAGGATGTTTTGAATTTAACACTGTTTCAGTTCCTTATATTTTCTAATCACAACTTTCTTTTTACTCACAGCATAGTTATCAGTCGACAAAGAATAATTCTGTTAATTTAAACTTCGTCACATTAATCGCGTGAGAATGCCATTCAGCATGCAGCAGAGTGAATATTTAGTGATGAAAATATTCAAAAAGCAACTTTCAAACAATTAATCAGCTCGGCTTTATCATTTTGTTTTGATTTTTTGCCTTGACCTACATACACTATCCCAAATACCGCGCATTTAAAGTAGGCTGGACTACGTCTGCTAATTTCGACCATTCCTTTTTCATGTGCTGTCAGCACGCAAATACAGGTATCACAATAAATCCAAATAAGGCAGAACGTCATTGCTTTTCCAAGCGAAATCACAGTCACTTTACCAGTTTTGTGTTCATGCATAAATTTACGGATTAAAATACCCACCTTCAACAATTTATAAGCAAAATTATTCCAAACCTCAAATAGAGGCACTTTTAATTTGTGACTACTTCAAAGTCCATGCGTTGATGCTCTGCAATAAAATTGCTACACTAGGCCAGTGGCATTAATTCCTCACAATTCTGCTGAAAATTGCTATCACTACCTAAAA